CTGTAGCTTCTTTTGCCACTAGAAGCGTTTATATTGCACTATATATATATATATATATATATATATATATATATATACACATAATATAGTGCAATCATTCTTTCATGCTAAATGAAGCTCTGTTGCTTGGATATCACTAGATCCTGTTACAGCGTAATATAAGTACATAACGATTGATATGCACATTAGCATAATTACTAGCTAGCTGCTAACTGCCGCCTCGTTAATGTGAAATCCATCATAATAACAAATCATTACCATGCTGTCATGAACGTGCGGTGCTGTTACGTGTACGCAAATTGACGTGCTTGATGTGTGAACGAGCATTTTGGTTAAAGTTGCGCATGCTCTATGAGATCACATACGGGTACTTCTCAGGCATGCCGGGTAATCTGTGACGTTTCGCTCTCTCAAAAGTTGGGCCATTTTATCTTCATGCGCCAATGAGCAACTCTCAGAGGAATGAATGAGGCCCCGCCTCCCACGCTGTATCCAGTTCTTATTATACATCCATGGAGAAATCCCATTGCTTTTTTTGTCGAGGGAACCCATGCGCAGCTTACTTCCGGGTTTTAGGACGCGTCACTGCACCACTTTATACACATGCATAAACTTCACCGCGGGCGGAACTTGTCATAAAGTCCGCAAAAATAAAGCCCACTCATTTAGACGGAAGATATGATTGGTCAATTGTACTGTCATTTGAGATTACTCTCTCGTGGATTTACTATAGCGGGCCCTCTGTGAATTTACAGCAGGACCACGAATCAGCTCCTCTCTTCACAGTAACTCGCAGAGACGAGCTTCTTTAAATTAACCCTTCACATTCCAACAGAAACTGAACAGGCAGATTTGAAGGATTTATTTATTTGGAAAGGTTATTTTAAATACAATTAAATGAAGTTATTTTGGTCAAACTAATGAAAAATATAACTAAACAAATATTTAAAAAAAAAGATATTTTAAAATAAATCTTTTTTTTTATGTTTTCAAATATAATTTTTTAGAATATCTTAAGCCCTCACACCACTGGTCAGAACACAGGGGGGCATAGGGGCCATCAGCCCAACCACTTTACGCTCATGGGCATTTTTTATTTCATGCATAAGAATCGGACTATCATTTTTGAATTGCTCATTTACGATTTCAAAATGCTTAAATACATACAAATGGTTTGCGCTGTGTAGCAATTTGATGTTTTGTTTAGTTGAATTACGTTATTTTGTATAACTAATATATGTATTGCTATATGTTTGTTGTTTACAAATGTTTTAAGGTTATTTCCTTTTTCAATCTCGTACAGAGTGGTTGTTGCATTGAAAAGGTTAAGACATTCATCTGTAACTGACATTTCTAAAGCACCATTCTGTGCTGTATTGATTAATATCAGCAGGATGCAAATGCTCTCTTTCTATTCATATACAGTGTGTACCGTCTTTAAAGCTTTTAAATCAATTGGGGTTTATGTTCCGAAGCTATATTGATTTTTCCAAATGGCTATCATTACTATTAGCCGGTGCTGATAAAAGGAAATCCTACTATTACCACTGCCTCATCTTTTTTCAGAAGGTCAACAGCCCTGCAAATGTGGAGCATTTTTACCCTTTGCTTGTCTTTGCTCCTTGCAAGAATATACAACTGGCACTCTCTCACATGCATATTGTAATATTTGGAAGAACACTTATACTCCCTGTGAGAAGTAATGCCAGTAGACCATCAAACACAAATTATTTCCACAGGTTTTTCAATATTAGTTTTTTGTTTCTTGCATAGCTTCTCGTTTTTCT